TGGGCGCTAATACTTACAGCAAGACTCAATCAGTATCACTGACACTGAAACATATTTGCTTGTAAGGCTATATTACACACGAATAGTTGCCCGAGCATCCACATCTGGAATATCAACCAAACTATTTCAAGGGTCACACAAGATCTACTTGAAATGTTCTATGGTTTGGATCCCGAAGATGAATGGTTTGCTAATTTTGATTCTGCATATTGCTCTGAACAAGCCAGATACAAGCAATAACGGAATTTACACGGAATCTTGGGCAAATCCCATCGTCGATTGAGAACTTGCAGTCGTCGAGTGGATCTTCCCCGCAATTATCTGTATAAAATAACAAAAAAATTGAGGCGGATATTTGCAGAACATATTGCAACAGAAATAAGTAATTATGCGAAGCCGGGCATTAATCAACTGATTGTGTCGCCCGACATCGTCATTGGCTCCTGCAAACAGCATAACCGAGGTAATGGCGAACAGCAGTTATGACCATGACGGTGCAGTGGCTATGATTGCCTTTTGCATATTGAGCACTGAGCTCCGAGAAAAGTTCGGGAGTACTGTTTGATTCATTCAGCTGATAAAGTAAGTGAGTATGTATTGTCTATCTGCCCATGACTGTTTGTTTGTTTCAGGAATAGGTGAATTCACAAGAAAAAATGAAGGCTAACTTGTGTATTTTTATTCATTCTTTCGGGCGCGACAGCTTAGTGTCTAGAGTTGGAATTCATTGCCAAGAATGCCCTTGGTTTACAGCTGACACCCCTGCCCGAGGTTCTCCTGGTTGCGGGAACCTGGAAGAATCGTAGCTCTTGTGCCTTCTTCTGATATCGTGCACGCGGACATAAAATGTGTGCTGCAGAAAAACGAAGTTGACGATGTTTTTAACGATGATATGCTGTGCCATTGAAACGAAGGAATAAGTGTGTGGTTCGCAAATGTTTTGATGCTGCTGTTGGCAGCCTGTATGTAACAGGTGAGAAAAACCTTCCATGACTTGTGTGAGTTGCTTTCCAAATGGAACAGTGTCAGAGTCGGGACTGGCAACAGTTAACGAATGGGAGCAACCCACAAAATCCCACTTAAGCAGCAGTTGTACTGGACATGTTGAAAGGAGTGAGCCTGCGGGTGGCCATAGACTCTGTTGGTATAAGGAAATAAGTGTTGGGCAGCTCAGATAAACTTGGTTTCATAATGCTATTAAAATTTAAGTTTGTGCTACAAAATAGGTTCGTAAAATGGGCTTGATTTATTTACTCAGCCGTCACGAAGTCTGTGAATATAGGATTGAATTAGCAGGCCGGTACTAAATTGTAAACTCATTGCACAACAAAGTATTCAGCTCTGAATCCTTACCAACACATTGATCGTATCGCGTGAGATGCTTTGTCAATATGCCTTCCACTGAAGGTAAAATACGAGATTTGATTGTAACACGGTGGTGCATATACGTTAGGTGGTGTCCCACGCTTTGGAAAATAAACTTACAAAGACTGAACGCAAGCAACAGAACCAATGTTGTCATAGTATCTTTTGACTGAGGACCTTGGAAATGACTTCGCAATTCTGGCCGTTCATGGGGTGATGCGTGTGCTTTGTAGTAATATGCATAACCTAGCAACCCGCCAGTCAGCTTGGCTGTACAAACCACACGCACGCGCCTATCTTCAAATGCACGAAATCCTAACCACATGTGTTATGCAAATCACACTTCTGCTTATGCGCAAAGTTTACCGTGCTATTTTCAAGTATATTATGACAAAAATAGCTCAAAAACTTCATAATGAATGAAGTACTCTAGTAATTTGTGCTTTCAGTATTTCCCGCACAAACTCGTGCCCGGTGAGCAACGGTTAGAATGACTGAAGATTCACGGTTTAATGTGCACTGATGGTTCTGTGAGCGGATTGCATGCAGTAGGAACCATTTCGTTGACTGACTCAGCGAAAAATCCCGCAAGAGCCCGATCATAAAGAAGCGCGTATTTGATCCAGAATTAGGGCACATAATGTGGTTTCTCTCAGGAATCCGAATTCGTGTTTTCGGAAAACAGATCCACGACGTAGACGAATGGGTACAACCGATATTCTGAACAAAACTTTTCTTTGCTTCGGATTCATCATAACTGGCACACAGAGAAAGCATGCGGCAATTAGCGCCTGCTCCCTGTTGTTGTATGTTTCAGCTATCAATGAACAAGTTACCCCATAGTACTCCCAAACAACACAATAAAATTGGCACTTATCTTTTTGACGGAAACATGAACTATTGTCTGACCAACTGCTTTATCCTTTTTATGGGACTGCGATATATTTATGTTCCTAACGAGGACTCGCCAAAAAGTAAACTACGACACTTCTCCCAATTAGACTGCTTTCTAGCAGCGAGAAAACTTCGTAAATTAATGTTTGTTTTCGGCACAAAGACAAAAACTATTGATGTGAACGTGTTATGTTCAAGACCCGACAAAAATTACTACGCTGTATTTCAGACAGTCCTTTCACGTTATGGCACTTAGTTTGTTTAATTCGCTTCATCCGGTTGCTCGGAAAGCCGCGTTTCGCTCTTTTAGCATTTGCAACAAGCGAATTCGTATTTTCCATACAGAGCGTTATTTTGCTTATC